TGATATGGTATTTTCACTTCAGCAAGCATCAGACGTTTGGTTAGCCAATAATGTTTATGAAATCATTCTGCAAGAGACTGTAATTTGTCCTATTACTTTGGTTTTAGCTTCTCTTCTGGAGTCCAAACACAACTGTCTTAAAATCAGCAAAAATAAATTAAAATCTGGCCTACATCTTTTGGGTTCAGTATCTAATATCTCTCCTTTAGTTTCCACAGATAAGTAGTATCAACTATTAACTGTGTGAATGTGGAGAACAATCTACTTCATACATGTTATGGTGCATACAATATCCTTCAACATGTACAGAGGAAGACCTCATGCTGGTGACAGAAAATGCTGTCAATGTCACCCAATATTGGGGGAATGTCATTTAATTTTAATCCCTATTTTACATATTTTACATATTTTACATGCTATATTTCTATGACCTATTTTATATTTTGCTTGCTCAGTGTTGAATGTTATAGGTCAGTGATGGCACCTTTTAAAGACCGAGTGCCCAAACTGCAATCCAAAACCCACTTATTTATCGCAAAGTGCCAACATGGCAATTTAATCTGAATACTGAGGTTTTAGTTTAGAAAAAACAACTCATACATTAACATCTTTTATCTTAAAACACTATAACAAAGCTTTCAATGATACAAATAACTTTTTACTGAAAGGTAAAAGTTTGCATTTGGCATGCTTTTGAACAATTAATGTGATTTTTGCTGTTGTATGCATGCTGATAATTTGTCTAACCTTGGCTTATACTTAGTAAGTTTGAGAGCAACACATGCAGCACTCAGGTCATCTGTTAGTCTGTTTCTGGTGTCAGATTTGATATAATTCAAAGCTGAAAGCAGCGTGCTCACTCCGGAGGCTTGTTTTGGTTAGGAGGGGGCTTGAGAAATGGCTTTTTCCTGCGAAAACCTAGCCAAAGAGCCAGGCGCGTGTGCCCACAGAGAGGGCTCCGAGTGTCCCCTCTGGCATGCATGCCATAGTTTCGCCACCACTGTTATAGGTCTATAATTTGAAGGTGCATCTGATGTGAATAAAGATCAACTATCAAACATCCATATACAATCATCAATATAACAGTAAATCCTGCAGGAATTAGGCAAAAATACATAGTCCTGGAGATCTCTGCATTTGCACTTTGAATCTCAGTAGCAGGTGTATTGGTCATGTGGTAGGATTTGGCCTTGGGCACAAAACATAGTGTTGATGGCACTGTTCCAGAATAGGACAAAGGGATGGAGAGAACTGTGAATACCAGCCTAACCTTTGTGATTAGTCTAAATACGAAACATCAAATCATTTACCAATAAAGCTGTAGTTTCTCTGAAAGTCCACTAGATCATACAGACACTCATCCAATGAAAATAAACAACCCTTGCTGTGGGATTAATAAATGGGTGCAATGTCATTTGATCATCAGTTATTGTAGAGAATGGAAATTGGGACAATCTAGGAGCTCTGGAGACATGGAGGTAGGGGAAACACAAAACAACATGAAAGGAGCTGAAACAACAATCTTCGCCTTATCCACATTCAGCCTATTTGTGCTGACTTGTGAAATGCAGGGTCACATGTTTGTTGAGTCATAATAGTTAAAGTCTTATGTCAATCATACTGCATGACACTGTGAGCTTCTGACTGTAGGCTTCTGAATATTGCAAAGAACATATTATGTAAGCATAAATGTTATCACAAACTTACAATGCCCAACCCAGAAGACAGCCTGAAGGCCAACCAAGCAACACCACCTCTGATGACCATTACGGGTGGTTTCAGGACATAGAGTTAAAGCAATACACCCTCAGAACACCAAAAGAACATGAATGCATTTTATTTCTGGTGGTCCAATACCAATTGGTGTCCTTGTGCAAGTTTGCCAACTCACTATATTTTCCAATTTTCCACCCATCATTCCCCACCATCCTTCTGGCAGTAGAAAACAAGTTTTGAATTGCAAATTCAAGAAAAATAGACCTTTGATACATAGTACCTGTACACTGCAGGCAAGCTTAGGTGTGCTGCAGACGTTTCTCCTCAGGGAGGATAGACAGACAGAAACATAAAAATGCAGTTTAGCCTCTGCAGAAAACTCAACTCATCAGCTTCACTGTTGCCAATGTTGCTTTGGGTCCAACAACAGTTAGAGGATTAATTATTGAATGAATTAAAAAAAATGTTTACTAAACCACTCAGAGTTAAGCCTAAGGGCAAATAAAATGCAGCCATTACACGATTGCTCAACTTGGAGTCCAAAGACAACTGCCTTGAAGTTGGAAACAAAAAGGAATCAACTAAACCCTGGCCTGGATCCTACGACCAATGGCTGTTGTTAAGGTCCAGAAAATGAAAGGCTGAACTGAATGCATAAACAACTATTATTTTCAAATTTTCAGAAGGATGGGGCCAGAGAGAAATTAAACTAAGCTTTCTACTCATCATACAAAATTGCAGCTTTTTGTTTGTAAAATCTGGAAATTCCATTTACTAAAAAAGACAAAAGAAGCGTCCAAAAATACACTTATTCAAGTGTGCCAGTTGCGTCATCAGATAATCGCCCGGCCACCCTCTTCAGGATGACCCGCTCCCTCCTTCAATTGAGGGGGGGGGACCCCCTGGTGGGGAGGGCTGAGGATTTTGCACAATATCTGTATGACAAAGTCGCTCGGATCCGAGAGGGTTTGGACTCCGACTGGGTGGCCCTGGGGGAGGTGGCGGGAGCAGGTCTTGAGACTATTATATGGGAGGAGTTTGACTCTGTGGCTCCCGAGGATGTGGACAGGATCCTGGGGAGGCTGAATGCAACCACATGTTTATTGGATCCGTGTCCCTCCTGGCTGGTACTGGCGGCTCGGGAGGGTACACGAGCCTGGCTCCAGGGAATTATAAACGCTTCTTTACGG